GCTGTTTACAATTATGTCAACAGTTATAATTTGAAAGGATGCCGTTTCCTCCTCCTTTGCATTGTGTGCATGTGTTTTATGCATGAGTAGAGGGAAGCTGAGTGTGCACAGTAGGAATAGCCAGTAAGCAAAATAAGCATGATATGGGAGGCACCAGAATATTTTAAGTTCTTAGGACCTTGTAATCTGGCCCTTTACATGTGACAAAGCATTATTCCTTATAGATGGTTGGTCTTATGTGCCCTCCTCTTTTATCGGTGGGACAATAAAAATCCTACTGTTTGCTAAAGAGGCAATAGTACAGGCAGTCCCTGAGTTACAAACCAGACTTACAAACAACTCCTAGGTTGTTGTAGGGTTTTTTTGGGCTATATGGCCATGCTCTAGAGGCATTCTTTCCTGACGTTTCACCTGCATCTATGGCAAGCATCCTCAGAGGTAGTGAGGTCTGTTGGAACTAGGAAAGTAGATTTATATATCTGTGGAATGACCAGGGTGGGACAAAAAACTCTTGCCTGTTGGAGGGAGGTGTGGATGTTTCAACTGACCATCTTGATTAGCCTTTGATGGCCTGGCAGTGCCTGGGGCAATCTTTTGTTGAGAGGTGATTAGATGCCCTTGTTTGTTTCCTCTCTGGTGTTTTGATGTTGTAATTTGAGAGTTTTTTTAATACTGGTAACCAGATTTTGTTCATTTTCATGGTTTCCTCCTTTCTGTTGAAATTGTCCACATGCTTGTGGATTTCAATGGCTTCTCCGTGTAGTTTGACATGGTGGTTGTGAGAGTGGTCCAGCATTTCTGTGGACCACTCTAACAACCACCTACTTAAGAACAACTCCTAGTTAAGTATGGTGGTAATACAACAGGAAGTAATAGAAATCAACTCCCACAATTCCTAACAGCCTAACGCCTTAAGTTGAAGTCCAAAACACCCAGAGGGCCAAAGTTTTCCCATGCCCAACATATGCGAGACTTATCCAGAAAGCAAGGTTACAAGGCACAAAGCTCTCGCGGGTAATTTTTGCGGGGGAAGTTGGTATCACTGCTGTGTAGTGGAAATCCAGTGAAAGCTAATGAGCAGTGCCTGTCGTCAGTAGCTCATCGACTGGCGTGGTGAAGGTTAAAGATGAGCTTCCTCATTCTGTTTCCCTCCAAGTGCGAAGTTCGTGCTGTAATGTGCTACCTAAATGCTAAGGGCATGAACACCACTGCGATTCATCGCAAAATGAACCAAGGCAGTGACATCTCCAGCTCATCCCCTGTTTGGATATCAGCCAGCACGTCAACAACTTAAATCAAGAAATAGTTTTCTAAGATCTACAGAGACACTCACTGGAACACCTCAGCAAGCAAGAGTCCAAAAGTGGCAGGCTCAAACCCAGAACCTCAATCAATGGCTGATAACAAATGAGAGACTCCCCTCTGGCCACACAGAAAACTGGGCGACTCGGAAGGCGCTGAACAGACTGCACTCTGGCACCACAAGATGCAGAGCCAACCTTAAGAAATGGGGCTACAAAGTGGAATCCACAACATGCGAGTGTGGAGAAGAGCAAACCACAGACCACCTGCTGCAATGCAACCTGAGCCCCGCCACATGCACGATGGAGTACCTTCTTTCAGCAACACCAGAGACACTCAATAGAATAGAATACCAAGTCTGCAAACTTGATTGATTGATTGATTTACAGCTTTAATATTCCGCCCTTCTCACCCCGCAGCAACGACAAATAAATACCCCGCAGGGGACTCAGGGCGGATTACAGTGTACACATATATGGCAAACATTCAATGCCAATTTTTGATATACAAACATATGCAGACATACACAGAGGCTATTTAACTTTTTCTGGCCGCCAGGGGAGCTGTTGCTTTCATTGTCCATCTGTGACGCTGATGAAGCACTTCCGCATTCCCTGCATGCTTCCCCACTGGAATGCTTTGCTGGAGTCTTCTTTATGGCCTCATAAATCAGTTAATTTAGCCTCCCCACACTTTAAGGTGGTACCAAATTTTCCTACTTGACAGATGCAACTGTCTTTCGGGTTGCAAAGGTCGACAACAGGCTACACACAATTGGTTGGAAACCCACTGTAACCCGGGGTGGCTTCGAACTCATGACCTTTTGGTCAGAGTGATCTTAATGCAGCTGACACTCAGCCAGCTGCGCCACAATCCCGGTGCCACTTTGTGTTTTGTTTGTTTGTCTTGTTAAAAAATGTAATGCAACTGTTTGGTCTGCCCCTGACACGATAAATAAATCGCAAAATCATTTCAGTTTAGGGAGAGGACGTAATGTCAAGACAGCTTGTCACAAAATGGGTACGGAATATATTGTGAGCCATCCAAAACAAACATTGTGGGATGCTGACAGCAGGAGTCTGTCTCCTTCATGATAATGCTCATCCGCACACAGCTCATGCAACACAATACTTGTTGACTTCATTTGGTTGGGATGTTTTAAGTCACCATTCTCACCACCCCAATTTTGCACCCAGTGACTATCATCTGTTCATTAAATTGAAGGAACACCTTGGTGGAAAACACTTTTCCGATGACGACGAGGTGTAAAATGAAGTGACGAACTGGCTGAAAAGGGTGGAGGGAAACTTCTATGACACGGGCATCAAAAACCCATCCCACGGATGATGAAATGTATTGAAGCAAATGGTGATTACGTGGGAAAATAATGAAATATCTATGCAACAATCCAAATAAGTTTTATTACAATATATTCATACGCTGTATTTAAAAAAACCCCTTGTAACCTTACTTTCCTGATAACCCTCATAGGTAAGATAGGTAGAGGCTGGAGCTACACTTAAATATGTACCGGGATTGTGGCGCAGCTGGCTGAGTGTCAGCTGCATTAAGATCACTCTGACCAAAAGGTCATGAGTTCGAAGCCAGCCCGGGCTGGAGTGGGTGTCCAGCCATTGTGTAGCCCGTTGTCGACCTTTGCAACCCGAAAGACAGTTGCATCTGTCAAGTAGGAAAATAAGGTACCACCTTGTGTGGGAGGCTAAATTTAACTAATTTATGAGGCCATAAAGAAAGAAGGCTCCGGGGAATGTGGAATGCGGAAGAACTTCATCGGTGTCGTTGATGGACGATGAAAAGCAGCAGCTCCCCTGGCGGCCAGAAAAAAAGTTAAATAGCCTTTGTCTGTTAAATGTTGTTTGTCAAAACTGGCATTGAATGTTTGCCATATATGTGTTTACTGTAATCCGCCCTGAGTCCCCTGCGGGGTGAGAAGGGCGGAATATAAGAACTGTAAATAAATAAATAAATAAATAAATATGTACCTGTTACGTGCAAATTCAACTTGAGAACAAGCCTATAGAATCTATCTTATTCGTAACTTGGGGGCGGCCTATATTTGGTTCCCTTTTCATATCAGAGTGGAAACAAATCTGAGAAAACAAGGATGTGGGTCACAAACAGCCACAGGTGTCAAGATCAGAATTACATCATACAAACCACTGAATTCTCAACATCACATCACAGATGTTTTACATTTTCCGAGCTTGGGTATGACTCCTTTTTTTTAGTTTATCTAATGAAGAAAATTTATTATTTACTTCATTAGATAAACTATTTATATCCCGCCTTTCTCCACCCCGGAGGGGACTCAAGGCAGCTTACAGACAGGCAATAATTCAATGCCTTAACAACAATATAAAGTTTAAAACATTAAACTTAAAATAAAAAAATATTACTATCACTATAAAAACACACAATCGGCACTCATAATCCAGGTCGTTCCTATAGTCATTGCACTAATCTAATTGCACTATGATTCATCTCTGAAGGCTTGATCCCAGAGCCATGTTTTAACTCTTTGTCTGAAGGTCAGGAGGGTGAAGGACTTCGCTAGGGACTGAATTCCACAGCCAAGGGGCCACCACCGAGAAGGCCCCGTCTCCTGTTCTCACCAGTCGTGCCTGCAAAGGAGGCAGGACCGAGAGCAGGGCCTCCTCGGACAATCTTAATCTCCAAGATGGTTCATTGAAAAAAGGTTATAGTACATCCCCTGGCTGATTTTTGATCTAGAGAGGATTTGGGCTTGCTATGATATGACGCTTGATCAGCAACAAAGGCTTCCTGGGCTGTATCTGCACAGTTTTTGTTTTCTGTGTCAGGAGTGACTTGAGAAACTGCAAATCGCTTTTGGTGTGAGAGAATTTGCCATCTGCAAGGACGTTGCCCAGGGGATGCCCAGATGTTTTGATGTTTTATCATCCTTGTGGGAGGTTTCTCTCATGTCCCCGCATGGGGAGCTGGAGCTGACAGCGGGAGCTGGAGCTGACAGCGAGAACTCATCCGCGCTCTCATCGGATTCAAACCTCCGACCTGTTGGTCTTCAGTCCTGCCAGCACAAGAGTTTAACCCACTGGGGGCTCCATCCACACAGTTGGACACTAACTGCAAATGCTATTATTGTTGTTGTTGTTGTTGTTGTTATGGAACCACAGGAGTGGTAGTTTTCCAAGGACTTTATCCTTCTCTGCCAGAGAGTGTTGGTGCCTGGTCAAACTACAACTCCCAAGACTCCATAGCATGGAGCCATGGCAGGTTATTTTCTTGAGAAACTGAAATTGAAGTGGTGCCAAACTGCACTAGTTCTACAATGTAGATGCAACTATAACATCCCCAACAAACACAACGGTGAGCTGATAACTGTCACAGCAGCAGCACCAACGTTACATAAGAGACTGTGATTCAGACCAAAAAGTACCTCAACTGCTTTATTTTCTGAAAATATATTTCCTCCTCCCTGAGCTTCAGTGGGGCAGAAAGGAGGGCTTCCCTGAGGTCACAGCTCCCTTTGCAAAAGGGAAATTCCCAGGTTCCTTCCCCAGGGGGGCCACGCCCATTGGGGGGGGGGAGAAGGAGGCATGATTGGCAGCCACAAGACAGGTCAAAACTCCAGTCTCTCTTGCTAGAGGTGTGTCTACACTTGGCCCCTCCAGGCCTTTTGGACTTCAACTCCCACAATTCCTACCAGCTCCCCTCCCACTGCAAGGCGGGGCTGATGAGAAAAGCAGAGCCAAAGGAAGTGAAGTCAAAGCGCGCTGAGCAGAATCCGCGGGAGGAACATTGAGAGAGAAAGGAGCAGAAGACATTTGGGATTGCTTATCTCCTTCCAATATAGTAAGTGCTTTCTGGAAACTGTTGCTTCAGTCTCTTGTTTGGTGTGAATGTTTTGGGGGAAGCGCTTTCCCTTTAGTTTTCAAAGTGCATCAATGCTGCAGTGTAGATGCGCCCTCTGGGTTGGAATTTAGCAGAGCTTGGGTGTCTTTGAAGTTCATTCGTCTTTTGTTATTCTGTCTTTGGTTTGGTTCTTAGTTTACTGTCAGCTCTCTGTATCCTCCATTCAACCATCCAAGACTTGGGATAGATAGTGATAGATAGGTAGACTTGGGTTGGTGACTGAATGCTGCCTTTTTATGCTCATGGAGGGGTATTATTTACTCTCAGACCTCTGTATCCTCCATTCAACTACCCAAGACTTGGGATAGATAGAGTGATAAATAGATAGTCTTGGGTGGGTGAGTGAACTCTGCCTTTTTATGCTCATGGAGAAGTATTATTTACTCTCACCCCTCTGTATCCTCCATTCAACTACCCCAAACTTGGGATAGATAGATAGTCTTGGGTGGGTGACTGAATTCTGCCTTTTTATGCTCATGGAGAAGTATTATTTACTCTCTGCCCTCTGTATCCTCCATTCAGTCACCCTAAACTTGGGATAGATAGAGTAGTCTTGGGTGGGTGACCAAATTCTGCCTTTTTATGCTTATTATTTACTCTCAGCCCTCTATATCCTCCATTCAGCCACCCAAGACTTGGGATACATAGATATAGTCTTGGGAGGGTGACTGAATTCTGCCTTTTTATGCTCATAAACGGGTATTATTTACTCTCAGCCCTCTGTATCCTCCATTCAACCCCCAAGACTTGGGATAGATAGATAAATAGTCTTGGGTGGGTGACTGAATTCTGCCTTTTTATGCTCATGAACGGGTATTATTTACTCTCAGCCCTCTGTATCCTCCATTCAACCACCCCAGACTTGGGATAGAGTGATAGACGGATAGTCTTGGATGGGTGACTGAATTCTGCCTTTTTATGCTCATGAACGGGTATTATTTACTCTCAGCCCTCTGTATCCTCCATTCAACCCCCAAGACTTGGGATAGATAGATAAATAGTCTTGGGTGGGTGACTGAATTCTGCCTTTTTATGCTCATGAACGGGTATTATTTACTCTCAGCCCTCTGTATCCTCCATTCAACTACCCCAGACTTGGGATAGATAGATAGATAGATAGATAGATAGATAGATAGATAGTCTTGGGTGGGTAACTGAAATCTGCCTTTTTATGCTCATGAACGGGTATTATTTACTCTCAGCCCTCTGTATCCTCCATTCAACCACCCCAGACTTGGGATAGAGTGATAGACGGATAGTCTTGGATGGGTGACTGAATTCTGCCTTTTTATGCTCATGAACGGGTATTATTTACTCTCAGCCCTCTGTATCCTCCATTCAACCCCCAAGACTTGGGATAGATAGATAAATAGTCTTGGGTGGGTGACTGAATTCTGCCTTTTTATGCTCATGAACGGGTATTATTTACTCTCGGCCCTCTGTATCCTCCATTCAACTACCCCAGACTTGGGATAGATAGATAGATAGATAGATAGATAGATAGATAGATAGATAGATAGATAGTCTTGGGTGGGTAACTGAAATCTGCCTTTTTATGCTCATGAACGGGTATTATTTACTCTCGGCCCTCTGTATCCTCCATTCAACCCCCAAGACTTGGGATAGATAGATAAATAGTCTTGGGTGGGTGACTGAAATCTGCCTTTTTATGCTCATGAACGGGTATTATTTACTCTCGGCCCTCTGTATCCTCCATTCAACTACCCCAGACTTGGGATAGATAGATAGATAGATAGATAGATAGATAGATAGATAGATAGATAGATAGATAGATAGATAGATAATCTTGGGTGGGTGACTGAATTCTTCCTTTTTATGCTAAGGGAGGGGTATTATTTACTCTCAGGCCTCTGTATCCACCATTCAACCACCCTAGACTTGGGATAGACAGGCAGTCTTGGATGGGTGACTGAATTGCAACAGTGACAACAGAGGGCTGTCTGTCCATCTATTTGTATCACTATATATACACACACAACAAGCATAAGAAAAACATCAGGAATGCATGCCTATGTGGCATTTTTTGCAAGAAAAATATATTTAAACCCACATAGAATTAAAACATTTCCAATTCTTTAAAAGGTAGAATATTAAAAAATCTACACATTCATGCACTAACCCAGTGTTTCTCAACCTTGCTACTGCTGTGACCCCTTAATACAGTTCCTCATGTTGTGGTGACCCCCAACCATAAAATTATTTTCATGCTACTTCATAACTGTAATTTTGCTACTGTTATGAATTGTAAATATCTGATAGGCAGGATGTATTTTCATTCGCTGGACCAAATTTGGCACAAATACCCAATATGCCCAAATGTGAATACTGGTGGGGTTGTGGGAAGGGGATTGATTTTGTCGTTTTGGAGTTGTTGTTGCTGGGATTTATAGTTTAACTAGAGCCCCCGGTGGCGCAGTGGGTTAAACCCCTGTTCCGGCAGGACTGAAGACTGGCAGGTCGCAGGTTCGAATCCGGGGAGAGGCGGATGAGCTCCCTCTATCAGCTCCAGCTCCTCATGCGGGGACATGAGAGAAGCCTTCCCACAAGGATGATAAAAACATCAAATCATCTGGGCGTCCCCTGGGCAACGTCCTTGCAGACGGCCAATTCTCTCACACCAGAAGCGACTTGCAGTTTCTCAAGTCGCTCCTGACACACAAAAAAAAATAGTTCACCTACAATCAAAGAGCATTCTGAACCCCACCAATGATGGAACTGAACCAAACTTGGCACACAGAACTCCCATGACCAACAGAAAATATTGGAAGAGTTCAGACCATGGGTTTTGGAGTTGTAGTTGCCCTACATCTACTCCTACATCACCTATAGAGAGCACTCTGTACTCAAACAATAATAGATCTGGACCAAACTTGGCACAAATCCTCAATATGCCCAAATGTGAACACTGGTGGAGTTTGGGGAAAATAGACCTTGACATTTGAGAGTTGTAGTTGCTGGGATTTCTAGTTCACCTGCAATCAAAGAGCATTCTGAACCCCACTAATGATAGAATTGGGCAAACTTCCCACACAGAAACCCCATGACCAACAGAAAATACGATGTTTTCTGATTGTCTTTGTTGACTCCTTTGACACCCCCCTCGCGATGACCCCAGATTGGGAAACGCTGCACTAACCCCTTAGCAAAGTGATTGCATCACCAGTGGGATTGTGGAGTGAATGAATGCTTGCAGATACTTCAGAGCTGCATTTCAGAACACAGTTGTGTGAGCATCCTGCCTTCTCCCATTTCTCTTCTAATCATAGGGATCAGACACAGACTCCAGGGGAGACAATATTTGCCTCTTTTGGAGAACACAAAGAAATGGACAACATTCTTTCCATTGTTGTGGTTTTGTTCCCCTCCCCGGGGAAGATGTGTCTGTAAGGAGCTGGGCTTCACCTCTGTTGCTTTCTGTCTGCATTTGTCTGGCACTCGGGAGTGATTCAGGATTCATGTTTAACCATTGCACCACCGGGTGCTCCATGAACATGGATGATTACTATGAAAGAACTTGGATGGAATTTTTAAGTGAGAGTTTCAGTATTGGAAAGTGTAGTGCGCTCTCTGCTCTGAGTTTTGCATACAGGCACGTAAAAGGGAGTTTTTCACAACAGAATAGTGTTCTCAAAGACAGTACTGTACTATATATTTAAAAGTTTTTCTGGAAAACGCTATTTTTTCTTGTGCGTCAAACCTGCTTTTGTGTTTTTAGCTCCATTTTTAGTGTCGTTTTTTCCTACTACCTGGGTGTGACAGCATGTTCAGACTCATATATAAAGTGTAGATGAAGTCCTGCCAAATTCAAGAGGAAGGATGGAGATTTTTTTTTTCTGTGCCAAATCTTCCTTTTATCTTCTGTGACTTATAGTGCTGCCCTCCTAACCCATAGCAGACACCTTAGTGATGAATAAGCTGGGGGAAAAGTGGTTTTTTGTGTCTGAAGACTTTTCTGAGGTTGTTCAGCTTGTAAAAGTAATGTTATTTTAGTGATGCTATGATATTATGATAATTGGCCACATCATGAGAAGACAGGAAAACTTAGAGAAGACAATGATGCTGGGGAAAATGGAAGGAAAAAGGAAGAGGGGCCGAGACCAAGGGCAAGATGGATGGATGGCATCCTTGAAGTGACTGGCTTGACTCTGAAGGAGCTGGGGGTGGTGACGGCCAACAGGGAGCTCTAGCGTGGGCTGGTCCATGAGGTCACAAAGAGTCGGAAGCGACTGAACGAATGAACAACAATAACATGATATTATCATCCTTATTAGTAAAAGAGTAATTAAAAATATGATCTTTGGTGCCTTTGGGCTGGCATGCATTTCTTGTAACTAAGGGGTTGGTTTCCGTGAAGATAGTCATGATTCATCATCTGACCTGGGTCAGGAAGGATCATTCTCTTTAAACACACATTAATGTGTGTCTCTACTACATCCGGATTCTTTGAGGGATCTTTTAAATGCAAATAAATTAGAATACAACTTCCCCAATCCCAAGGAGATATATTCTTGAACCTTGTGTAAACACCCAAAATAGCAGGTATCTACACACACCATTGAAATGAGGGACGTCCATATCCGAGGTGTACTTGAAGACCTAGAGAAAATGCCTAGAGATTTTTTTATCAGATATGGATGAATGAAATTAGAAATACTGGTTGCACTTCATTAATTTCTGTTATGTTGGAATATTGGAAAGGTTTTTTTTAAAGGTTTCGCAGTCCTTGGGTATGTTGCTTTTGTATATGATTTTTCTGTTAATGGAGTTTTGGAAAACTTGTTTTCTAGATATGAAGTACCAATAGAATTTTAAATTCTATTGAACTGCTTTTATATTTTCTTTTTCTTTTCTTCCTGTCCAGTGTTTGATTTTTTTTCCTTTCATTTTACTTCTTTACCTAATGTAGTAGGTACTAACTT